ATGAGGGAATGACCTTTGGTACTGAAAGCAGACGATATTCTTGTCCCTGAAGACAGGAGAAAGGTGACTGATTTGTAGAGATTTTTTTTTTATAGTGACGTTTAATATTTGCGAAATTATCGCAAACTATTTATTACAGGTCCAAATGACAATATATGGTCAATCGACATGGAGCTCTACCTCGCGTGCTATGGGAAAAATTCGACAGTGAGCCCAGGTTTTCAGGATAATTTCTCAGCAGCGTCAGCCAGGTTCCGACGGGTTAAACGGTGGCCCGGGCATGGCATTGCATTGAGATTGGGGACCTAATTAACCTCGGTGGGCCCCCTCTAATTCTCAGCTGTGGCCTGTGCATATGTATGGAAGAGGGAAGCCATTCTCCCTCCAGAGAACAGATTTCTTTGCAAATAAAGAAGGATCAATGGACATTGTGGACAAACCCCGACTCAGAACTCTGGGACATGTCACCGTGAGCCCAAGAACAAACTGAACATGGAAAAAAGGAAGGTTAGGACATTTCCAAATGCTGAACGTCCACGAGAAAACGTGGCCAGGAAGGAAGCCATGGGGAACAGTGGTGTCATCATGGGAAAGTGGCCCAAAGAGCCTTCCTTCCCGTCCCCAGGAGAGAAATCCATCTCTTCCCAGAGGTTGGCCTTGGGAGGGGGGAAAGGTTGCAGCATCTTATTGTTAAACTCCTACCTCAATGGGGTTTAATTCTGACTGGCGACTTGTCACTTTTCTTTTTCTCAACCAGAACCTCAGGCTTTTCCCTGTGAACTCTCCCCAGAGAAATACTGTTCTATGGGACATCAAACCATGTATTTTTAAAAACAGAATGTGAATGAAAATGTACTTGGTTTCAAGAATTTTAGGATGCCTCCTGGGATAAACAAAGGCAGCCTCTGGTTTGGGAGGACTGTTCTTTGGGTTGTCGGGAAGATCCAGGAAAAAGTAATGTGACAGAGAACTTCGTAAGGGTCTAAAGAGTTCCTGAGGTTACTCTTCTTGTAAATGAATGAAGCAGAATTTATCCAGGGACCGCTGAAATGACAGAATTACCTGCACAATATTTTGGGGTTTTTCCACATTGTTCTTGCAGGCATTTGGAGGTGTGGAGATAGCAGTACAATAGCTCATTGCCATCTATAGGGAAATACATACTCTTAAGGTTGCATCCCAAATGATCTAATAATTCATATCATCTAAATGAAATTGAACCATTCAGCATCCGGTTTGACCCGCCAGCACCAGAGGCCACTGCGTTCAATGCAACTGAATGCTCATTACAATTCTGGTTTGGAAAATCTAAACGAAATAGTGGGGTTGACTAACAATGCCTTTATGAACTGGCAAAGTCTTTGAAAGCCTCTGAGCCATTAAAATAAGGTGGTCTCTATCCCTCTCCTACAGCATTCATTAGTTATAGCTATTTAAAAAAAATGCAAAGTCATGAGACTACCCTGAAATGATGAGTCAATTCTGACCAAATAGGGAATTTACTTTTTGGTCTAATGAAATGTGTGACTAATAAAAGTACATCAACTGTTTTTGAAATCATGCCTATTAGGAACAACCGAAACTAGGCTTCTCTTTCACCTGCTTTCAGATAAGCAGGCTCTGAGGATGTTAATAATGTGGCATATGTTAAAGTACGAAGCAAAAGAACAAGGGCAGATTACCTATAAATGACCTTTGAAAAGGTCATTTCCAAGAGTCATTCCAAAAACCCTTCCACGAAATATATTTAATGCTCAACCTTCATCAAGAGGCAAATGTCTAGCAGTGATATGAAAATTACCAGACCACACATATCTGGATACTTGTGTGTCTCATTATCTTCTTTATTTAATTGCTGGCACTGTGTTTATTAGGGACGACCACACTTCACGACTCCATTTGTCGAGTATAACAACACAGTATGCCGTTTCTTCTAGTGGAAAGAACACGTTTGAAATCACATAGTCCCCGACTCTGACATTTTACAGCAAATTAATGTATGTCAGAAGGCTCAGATTCGTTATGAAATCAATATGCTTAGCGTTCATTCATTCAAGAATCATTTGCTGAGCTTTCAGATTCCACCAGGCACTGTGCTTGACTCTGCAGACAGAATTTTGAAAGACACAGTCTCTGGCGTTCAAGTTTATAATCCAGCCAACAAGAAAAATCAAATAAAACCACGTGAAGTAACATATATGGTCTGAGTCTAGAGTGAATCAAAATTGTTCCCACTCCCATGCATTTGCCTCTAATGCCTGCTTAAAGGCGCTGTTGGCAGGTTGTTTTCCAACGAACAGTCAACATGTTAAGATGATCTATAAAGGCCGTTCCACTTGGCTGAGAGGATGGGTCTTCATCTACTAACCTAACCACCTTGAAAGCCAGTTATGTTGTTGAAACTGAGAAATATACGATAATCCCTCAATTAACCAAGATAAACCTAAATATTCTGGTTCATTTCATTTACTGGTTAACAGAGTTGAGTAAAAAACCCTTTCAGTTGAGTACACTTCCTGAACATATATCAGTGTATTTCCTGCCCTAATAAACATGGTGAAATAAAAAATAACGTGAGCAAATGTATTTCCCTAAAAGAGTTAGGGCAAGACTCCCACATCTTTACAATCTTGCAACAACATTATTCAGGGGCTGATAGATGTTGTCTGATTCCACAGAATATTGTTTGGGGGTCACCTTTTCAGCATCATAGTATTTTGGGACTTAAAAAGACATTAAAAAAGCATTTAGTTCAAAAATCCTAATTCCAGGCTTGAAAAACACTGAACTCAGTGCAGTTAAGTAAATTTGCCTCAGGCCACACAGTTGGTGGCAAAACCGGAATGGAAACTCAGGGGAGTGGAATCACAATCCAGTGTTGTTCATTTTTCAAGGTACCACAGATTCATAAAACATAGAGAGGCTCAGGTGGGTTTCCATGGATTGCACAGCCCCCAGAGTAGACCTGTTCTGTGTCATTTGTCTCCTGATAAAAACCAAGAGAGTAACAATTAATTCTGGTTGCTTTTAAGCAGTAGAGAATTATCCAGATTCTGATATGACTACTTTTTTTTGCAAATAGTGTGGACTTGTGGATTTGCCTCTGAAAATTGAGTTAATACACTTCTAACATCTTGGGTGATAAAGTAAGTAACGGAGGCTGCAGGTCACGAGCCCGCCTGGCATGCGGAACACCTAGGCACCGAGAGCCGGTGCGGACAGCGTTTGGAACATCGTCTGATTGCCCTTGTTTTATGGTGTCAGGTCAGACACTTAGCAATGGTTGAATGTAGTTTATTCTCTCTTGGTATAATATTTAGAGCATTCAAGAGCGTGTTAAGTAAAATGAATGCATACACAGTGTCTACATAAATGTAAATTTATTCATAATCAAGAGCGGAATATTTTCTATGGCATTTATCAAAGCAAATATCCTTATATAGGTATTGCTATAAAATGAAGAGTGCGTTTAAAACAAATAGGGACAATCTCATGTTTATATTCAGTTATTTTCAGATGTGCTATTAAACTTAAAAAAGATTATATTTCATCAAAAAACAAAAGGAATAAATTCCACAGTAATATCAAGGTCTTTTAAAAGACCTTCGCATAAAAGTGCAATTTTGCATGAGAAAAAAGAAAAGTCTATTGTCTCTCTACAGAAATCTGTAAACTATGTTGGTTCTAGGGTTTTATTAAGTGATGGTCCTTTTGAGATAGAAGTGTGATGTAAACCGGAATATAATAATGATCAAGAATATCGGGGGGGGGGTCATTGAAACCTTCATTAAAAAAATAAGACCTATATTTTCATACTGTGCACTGTTTTTCAAATGAATACAGGCTCCATGGGAAAATAACCCTAGTAATCCAAGCATTTTGGAAAAAGCCCTCAACAATTAGGATGTTCTGCAAATAATAAAAAAGAAGTAATTTCTGATAATCCTAAGTTAGATTTGGGAAACCTACTGACTTAGATTGTTATTCTATCATTTTTCATAATATGAAATAAGTGTATTAGATCAACATCATTCACATTTAAGCTTGAAGTGAATTTTCAGTGGGAATAGCGATACCTGAGGGTTTTTTGGGTTTGTTCTTGTTTTCTTAAGTGAGGGAGGGAGAGAAGATGGGATAAAGGGAAGGGAAGCAGCAGAGACAGGAAGGGGACAGAGAAAGTGATAGAGAAAAGCAAACTTACTCCCAGCTTGAGGAGATATTTGGTGCCAGGCAACAGGTGCTGTAGCGTGTGGTCCTGAAAAAGCTCTGTACTGTTATAGACGACATCCCAAACGGTAAAGTCATGCATGTGATTTGAAATATATAATAGATAGCGCTCCAGAATTCCGTTTAGTTTTCTTGGTTGTTTCCACCTAGGAATGGAAAAGTACAGCATTATCATCCTCATTCCTTCAAGTCATGCCTGATGGGCACAGCCTTTATAGGTCAGGTATGAACCTGGACTCAGGCCATAGCAAAAATACACACTGAACACTTAAAAAACATGATTCACTTAAAAAACATCAACTGAGTAGTTATTAAACGTCTATTCTGAATGGTGTAAAGAAAATAAGGCATAGTGCCTGTTCTCTAGTTACTTATAATTTTAACTAGAGGCCCAGTGCACAAAATCTGTGCAAGACGAGGCCTTCCTTCCCCCGGCTGCAGGCACCAGCTTCCCTCTGGCACCTGGCTTTCCTCTGGCTGCCAGCAGGCACCTGAGATCTGGGCTTCCCTCACAGTCCCGGCTTCATCTGGAAGGTCGTCCAGCCTAATTAGCATATTACACTTTTATTATTATAGATTAGATAATAATATGAAAATGTCTGAGTATTTGACTTTTAAATATTTTAAAATGTTTTTACTGCATTTTTAGAGAGATAGGGAGAGGGAGAGAGAAACATCTATGATGAGAGATAATCATCAATCGGCTGCCTCCTGCAGGCACCCCTGTGGGGATTGAGCCTGCAACCAGGGCATGTGCCTTGACCAAGAATCAAACTGTGACCTCCTGGTATATGGGTCAGTGCTCAACCAATTAAGCAACACTGCTCAGGTGAGCATTTGATTTTGAACTTAAGCCATAGAACAACATTTGGGCTAAGTAATACATCTGAGCACTTATAAGAAATGATAGGGAGAGAGAATAACATAACAATCTTGAAAAGGGCATTAATGAAACGGTTAATAAGCAATTCTAGAATACAGGAAAGTTGTGGATTGGAAGGGCTGAAATAGTGCAGTAAGACTTCTCGAATGAGGTGACATGTGACTTAGAGGCATGACTGAGTCCTTCATAGACGGGTTGGATTTGGTAGGAAGAGTAGAGCGCATTCCACACAAGGGTTCCAATGTGTTTGTGAGTACAAACAGGGCAAGTCATGGAACAGACAGAAACTGGTAAGTTGAGAAATAGTTACAGTAGTGGGACATCTTCGGGGCAAATACTGTGGGACTGGCTTAGGGCAAAAAGGAGAGCCAATGAGAGAGTTCAGATTAGGGACAATGGGATTGAGTCATGTTTTTCAGTTTGAATGAGTATCTTAATTTACTGAGTCCAAGCTCTTGTTTCATAGATGAGAAATTGAGACTGAGAGAGATGAATGTCAACAGTAGTAACTGGTGGTAAGAGAGGTTTAACTCAGTACTGCAATATACCTTGTACCCCTTGTATTAGGAAATGGATAAAAACCACTAATATCAAAAATAATCTGAACCTGCCTATAGCTGAAAGTTCCTTTCTGACTTCAACTGCAAAGGAGCACGGAGGTCCCAGTTTATCCTCATAAAGGAAATGTACATCTATACTCCCTAACTCCAAATGAGCACAAACAATGCCTCTCATCTAAAAAGCTCAAAGCGGCCGGGTAAGTGGTCAGTTTCCCCCTCCGTGAAGTCTGCACAGAAGCTGTGTACACATGTAGCTCGGCCTGATTGCATAAAGACAAAATGGAAATTAACTTGGCAAGGGATAATCAAAGGTTCCCAGCACCACTGAACTAATCACTCCTATGCATTTAATCACAATGAAATTAATTCTATGTCACAAGCCCTTCCCTTGATTGAATGCACTGGGATTCCTGCATGAACCCCCGTGTGACAAACAATATTGCTACTCACTGTGCGTTTATAGTTCTGGAATCCAGGACGGTCAGAATTGGGGGATTCACCTGTTCCGGTGGCAGCTGTGCCGTGTACAGCTTCACCAGGGAGCTGTTCGCGCATCCCACATGTGTGCAGGCACACAGCAGAAACTGGTGGGGCGAGAACACTGCTAAATCTAGGGGGGTGCAGGAAACAAGAACGCATTTGCAATCAGACTTTTTATTCCCAAGATCTCACTCCTCCTCTACGTCCCTACTTCTTAGAACGGTGAAAGGAAAGCTTCAAATAGGAATCTATAGCCATCAAAACCGATGCCAATAAGACAGAGTCTGTTTCACCCCTTAAATATGTGATGGTTATTTTAAAATAGACAGGTGTCAGTCAAACTCTTGGCTTCACTTTTCATTTGAACAATTTGACTGTTTTTTTTTTAATGTCCCTGGCCAGGTAAATCGGTTTCTGAGTTTAGCCTTAGTTCAGTGACTCTGTTAAAAAATAAATGAGACATTTAAATAATTTTTAAAACATATTTGAAGACTACAGGAGTTGCTTTTGAAATTCAAATACAGAGCTTGTAACAATGACTTTGAACTTGTCATTCCTTCGGCTGAATTCCTTTCTTTTCTTCTCCACCTGAGCAACTATTATTTGACCTTCAAGCTGCCCAGTCTCAGTGCCAATGCCTGTTTCTTTCTGCAGCTGCCCTGACACACCCTGCCGTGACCTCTGGCACAAGATGGAGCTATTATCCTCTCCTTTCCTCCCAAGGTGTTTGCACACACCTTCAGCACAGCGTTCACAATGCCGACATCAGGATCTGTTTCTATGACTTTTATTCTGTTTATTCGAGCCCTCAGAGTGAACTCTGTAAGGGCAGGAACGGTGGTGATACATTCATTTTGCATCCTCCGTATCTAGCACAATGCCTGACACATTATAGGTTTTGAATACATGTGTTAGAATAAACTAATCTGTAATTTACTAATCCATTTCTAAAATATCCTCAGTACCCCCTTTTCACAGGGACTCAATTATTTCATTGAATGAATCTCACCAAAGTCCTGTCAACTCTACCAAGATGTAAACATGTCATATTTCTGTGCTTGTCTGAATTCCTAAAAAGAATTCTCAAACACAAATGCTTCATAAAACACACACACACACACACACACACACAAAACAAACAAACAAACAAAAAACAACACAGCAGCCCTGACCCATGTGCTCAGTGGTTAGAACATGGGCACATGCATATACAGGGTCACAGGTTCAACTTCTCATCGAGGGCATGTACTTGGCTGGATTGCACTTACCTGGGTTGCAGGTTTGAACCCCAGCCCTGATTAGGGAGTGTTTGGGAGGTAACCAATTGATCTCTCTCTCTCTCTCTCTCTCTCTCTCTCTCTCTCATAGACATTTCTCTCTCTCTCTTGCCTCTCCCTCCCTCCCTTACACTCTCTTTAAAAATCAATGGAAAAAATATCCTCGGGGCAGGATTGACTGAAAAACAAACAGGAGATAAAGGTATGCCAAAATGTGAACAGTGGTTCTCTCTGAGTGAGGACACATGGATGATTTATTTATTACATGTATTTTCAAATTTTCTAAGGTATACATGTATATCACAGATGGAGAAAACACAGCCACTGTTTATCAATATCAATTCAATATTTAAGAAAAGGTATGCCCAGGACCCAGTTGGCACTGTTCCACCTCCTATGTCACACTTTGGCTTGGTTTCCTTTTCAATTATACTTGCTCCCCTTTTCTATTTTTTCACCTTTTTGGCAACTTCAACATCCTCAGGAGTGACTCATCCCCAAATCTGGCTCCACTTCCACTTCCTCACATGGAATGCCCTTCATCCTACTGCATTCTTCACCATTGGGCACGGTTAGACCCACTACCTGATCACCTCCAGAACCACTTCCAAGCCTCTTAATTTAAAATCTACCCTGTCTGACCAGACTGGTGACCTCCCACCCCTTCCATTTGTCACGTTAATGCAGTCCCTCCTTTGCCACCACACAGTCTCTCATTTCCAGAGTATTCACAACATCTGCATTTCCCTTGCCATGATCTTCGATGGCTCATTTCAAAGTCATGTTCTTCAGGTCTCTAGGACACCTCACCTCCTCAAGGCTCTTCTGTATCTGCTGCCTCAGTCCCTTGCCTGGGATAAGTCTTCCCATATCATCTTCTCATATCTGTGCGGCGTGACTGAGAGACATTGCTGAACATGCTGAAGAGTCCACTACACTTTTAACTTTTCCAGTATGAGCTGGACCCTTGGCCCTCCTCGGCGATAACTGTCTTATTCCCTTGTTTCTTCCTTCGTTGTACTGACCTCTTTATTTTTTTTCTCTTTCCATGGTTTGGGAAAATCTGGAGGAACCAAGTGAGGTCTCAAATTGAAGTTCTCGGGTCCAGCTCTTTCTGAACCTCTATAATATTTGGTATCCGTGCCATGCGGTCAAGATCAATATGGTTGTCATAAATATCAATATGGTTTTCCCCTTCTGCTCTTCCCTACCCCTACCCCCATGCCTTTCCCTCAGTTACAGTCTCCTCTAAATGTCCATCCATTAAATTATAAAGTCTGCATTTACCTATAAAATAGGTACTATACGTGAAACAGAATGTGACTGGTCAGAAAGCAGAAAGAACAAGAGGACCCCTCTACACAGCCAAATGGAGGGCACTGGGGGTTTAGATTTAACGATCAGGAGAAACAAAAAGGGCACAGACCCTCCCTTCCTCCACGTCAAACACCCCAGATGGAATGAAGGAGTGAGAAGGAAGGAGACAGGGATGTGCAGGATCTTGGTACGAGGGGCTGTGATGCCTGGTTCTAAGGTAGAGTCCCAGGCAACAGACAGGCCCAGAAAAAACAAACAAACCTTGGTGTGTGCAGCAGGACAGGGCCACAGAAAGCACTGCTGAGAGTTCAGTTCCCCAAGTGGGATAGGGAAGCAATGACGAGACCTCCTGGGTCTGAGAGGGGATCTCTTTAGTGACCCCTTTGCACAGAGAATGAAGCATCATGAATGGCCACACCCAAATACCGAAAACTGTCTATGACCCTGCAAGCTGTCACACCTTCAAAGGACAGGAGGGACCCTGAGAGGGACTTGTAGGCATAACATCACATATATGAGGTCGAGTTACAGAATTAAAAATACAGATATTCATAGAAATACAGACATAGCTATGTCTTATTGACTGAGATTTATAATGCTTCATGCTCATTCTGCCCTTTATTCATGCTTTTGATAACCACACCCAAGATTTCCAATCCTATGCAGAATTAAAATGTTCTTCCCCATTGGATTTTTTAAAAATGAATTAATTCACAAAAAATCCTTATGGGAAATCTGATACAATAGGAACTGAGGATTTCCTTTGGATTGGGAAAATTTGAAAACTATACACTCAACAGTAGAAAGAAAGCCAGTCTTTGATTAAATAGCTTTTTTGACTTCCGAGTCATTTTTATGCCTGCGCTGTCCACCCCGAAGTGGATTATTCTTCATGTATTTCCATAAGAAGATGAAGTGTCACTCGTGTCCTTTGAATAATGAGGCATGAAAAAAAGAAGGGGATGGAGCCTCACATGATACATGTTAGAGGGAGCTGCACAGGTGGCTGGACTGGGAAGTCCTTCGTGAAGTGGGAGGCGATGGTGAGGAAGAGAGGAAGGAAAACTTGGCAAGAAAAGAGGGGTTTCCAGGCTGGGGGAGGAGGGTAGTAGCTAGGTGAAAAAGGGACAATTGACACGGGTGATTCTTTTTTTACAGAGTTATTTTGAGAAAGTGAAAACGTGGTTCCAAGGGAAGCAGGACTAAGGCATTCTTTGGGGGTAAAGCCCTAAGCAAAACCATCAATTTCATGTTGAAAGCCAAGAGGAATATAATAGTAACTCTCTCCTCCCTGCCGAACTGCAACTGATTTGGTAATATGTCTCCACAGATGTGATCAGGCCCTTCAAGGGCAAGGTGATGGATCAACGGATTCAAACAATTGCAGGTATGTACACAAATCTGAGCGGAGCCACTGGAGGGTGGGGGAACCCTGAAAATGTACGGCCACTGTTCATCAAGCCCCTTAACACAACCATCTTGTTTTCCATTGGCCTGATTGCATCGTTTGCATAAGATCAAACATAAGAGAGAGCTGTGGACAGGGAAAAACAGATCGCTCTGATATGCATCAGAAATGGATCTACAGGCATCATCCTGGGACGTGGTACACGGAAATGCACCCCAGCGCATGGAAACCTCACCGATTACTGTCGAGCAAACTATAATTTACAATACTGGCCATGAATTATATGCTATTTTACGATTGATTTCATGCTGTTGTTCAGAGAATTTCATTGATCTCAATTTACAAAATGAACCAATAAGTAGGCAATGATTTTCTTTTAACTCCTGGTGCAAACTGAGAAATGTATATCTTCTTATTGGTGTCTCCCGTGGCAGTTCTTGCTTCTTTATGATCTAATGCACGTTATCAAGTCGTTTTTCTAACAACTTCCAAATAAAAAATAGAGCTTCTTCCTGATTTTGTCCCCTCTTCTCAGGAGTCATCACCTGGGTGTTAAAAATGTTGGAACAGCTAGGCCAGTGTGGCTCAGTGGCTGAGCGTCAACCTATGGGAACCAGGAGTTCATGATTCAATTTCCGGTCAGGGCACAAACGTGGGTTGCAGGCTGGATCCCCAGTAGGTAGAGTGCAGGAGGCAGTCAATCAATAATTCTCTCTCACCATTGATCTTTCTCTCTCTCTTTCTCCCTCTCCCTTCCTCTCTGAAATCAATAAAAAAATACATTCTTAAATGTTGGAACAATTTGGCCACTAGTGACCACAGCTCCTCTGTCATTAGGAATTCCATCTTGAGAATCACTTCTAGGCTAAGGTCCAAAGAGAACACAGTCTGGGTGGTCGACCTAGTAGGTGGTGTGTTTTCTATAGCCATCAGGAGAGCAATGGGCCCCATAAAAAGCACGTGGAAGGTCACGTTGTTCCTTCTGCCCCTGTGCAGCCCTTGCGTCACAGCTGCTTGCTCAGCCTTTTGGGTCCAGAAAACTCAGAGTCTGACCTTATAATTAATAAAAAACACAGGCTTTCTTTAGCCTGAACACCATTGTTCTTCTGCTCCTCATAAAAGCCTTAA